TATTTGTACTTTTTCCAAACTAAGTCTAAAATTACAAAATTGGGTTAGTTTTGTACTGACAAATTAATTTACTTTCTTACCAAACAGACTTTTAACTGTAATGGATGCAAACATGAATTCCGATAAAGTATATGCTTTTTTTTTTTATCAAAAGCCCACTTGAATACAAATTTACTTTTTTTTTTATTGATGTGACTTTTACATCTTATTATCAATTCAAATATGCATTGATCTGTCATTTGTCAATGCATAAACATAATATTGCCAAACACAAACAAAAATAAACCAGAGTATAAATTTATCCTGAACCGAGATTTACAATCCATTTGCATCATTTCCAAATGCAACCTAACATAAAAAGAAAATTAATCCATGTAAGTATGTGACAGTTTGAGGATCTAATAACACATCCTTAAAGACATAAGCGCTGCGGGATTCCCAAATTTGGTGCAAGATAACATCTTCACCAAGGATCCACCATCCATTTCATGTAGGTGTTTATCACATGGACATCCCAAATATCATACATATGTGATCGGAAATTACCATTCACCACCTTTGCATAAAGGGTACGTTGGATTAATATCAATGTTCCTTTACCTTAGAACAGCAATAGTTGGCACAATGTTGTGTAAACAATGCCAAAGAAAAAGTTTTAACAGAGATGGGAGAAGTTTAACTCCCCATAGTAATTAATCCTCAATGATGATAGATGAAGAAGAGGTACCTGGGCTGATGGAGAAGAAGTGAATTTTCCATGTGGTGGCCGGGGGTCCTTTACTCCAAATAAGGGTATCTTCCACCTCAATTTCTTAGGCTCGTAATTGGATCTCAACACCCTTTGAACATCTTCTGCAGCAATAGTGGAAGACAATAAATTCATCCTCCAAGATTTGGTAACAGGATCTATAATTTGTGCCACTTTCATATGATATAGATCAACTGCGTCAGGAGGGTCATGAAAAATGTTTACACCATACCACAGTGAGTCCAGATCTGCGCCCTACAAGTAAGGGTGTCAATGGACCAGTTTTGGATTGGACTCCGTTCAGTCCAAAATCAATTTGGACGGATTGGACAGACCAACAAGACATTGAATTAGATCAATTTGGCCCAAAATTTTTATTGGATTAGATTAGACCTGGTCCGTTTGTAACGAATTTATATTAGATAGGGTTGGATTAAGCCAATATCTGATCCATTTATATAAGATAAGAATATATCTGTCAATGGGCTGGGTTTGGGTTGAAATCAATCTAAATCAAAATGAATTTGAACAGATAGGACAGTCCAGACATTGAATAGGACTGGTCCAAATAGGTCTAAAACATTCATTGGATTGGATTGGACCTGGTCCATTTATAATGGACTCACATTAGACTGAATCGGATTGAACCAAATATAGTCCAATTGACACCTCTACCTACAAGGGGGCGCCTCACAACGTTCCACAGCACATCCCTGCCGTGTATTGAAAACATCTCCTATTGATGACATCATCGGTTCTGGTACTATCATCAAGAGATATTCCCAATACCTGATGGGAATGTGCTATGGGATGTTGTGGGGCGCAGATGTAAACTCTACCACAGTACACCACATTTAAGCACATCCTTTACCTTCATCATTCCATTCCAAGTAGTAGAAACCGCTGAGGAGACACTATTTTGCTAGAAATTTTTACCCTGTTGATATTTAGCTTGTAAATTAAAACATGTTCCCATATAACATCTTTAGATGTAAGAAATCCCCAACACAATTTAGGTTTCACCATCAATAACCATTGTCTAACATGAGTTATGTTTTCTTGGAATCTGTGTCACCTCACCAAAAGTCCCTGCATAAATTGTCAATTTGATGACAAACAGTAATTTAATAATTTGGTACCACTTCTAATGTGGACTTGATAAGAACAGTTAATCCTGCCTGTGATAATAAAGAGACATTTTACGCACCAAGGACTGCCTTTCTGAGCATTTTGTTGTACATTGTAAAATGGATAACCCCAATTTGATATCATCAGCACTCATGCAACACATTCCTAAACTAGTGCAAATGCGAAACTGTATACGGTGAGTATTACAACTAAAGTAAAGTAAATGGAAGATTTCTGGTAGTTGATGTCCTGAACCGACCATTAATTTAAGTTGCATTTGTTTGAGGTTTAAATTCAAATTTTACATGATGGAAAATGTGAATCAATTTAATGATTGATGGAAATTGGGATCGATTGATTTTACAAATTTACACTGATCATGTTTGGTTGTCTAAGGTGTAAATTAGATGAAATTATTTGTCATAGATGAAAAACTGATTTTTAATGCTCAAAAAGGGAGAATGAACATAACGTTTGAATCACTGAAACGACGGAGTGGCGGAGCAATGTCTGAGATGGAGCAATATCCGAGTCACATTGAGCATTACATTCCAAACATTATAAGATTGATAAAATATCACCAGATCTGTATGTTGAACCTCTGTTTAGGAAAGAGAATAGGGAATGAGAGAGAGAGAGAGAATATCTCATACTGGATGTTCGATGAAGAAGCAACAATGCCGGCGAGAGACAAAAATGGCAGTTGAAATGGAGTAGATGGAGAACGGAGGAGAGAGACTTGAGGGTGAGAGAAGTTTTACTTTGATGATAGAAGCCAATGAGTTTTTACATTGATAATTTGGATATATATTTTTCATCAATTATTGGTGTAAAGAGAATTCAAAGTGGAGTTTTACACTGATTTATAGGATAAAATTACACTCTTTCCAAACGCATATAAAATCAAACCAGGATGTAAAATTTACCCCGTTTCGATTTCTACCTCAAACAAACGTGGCCTTACAAAAATAGTACACTCTTATTTTTTCCTAATTTTTAATCCTTAGGTCAAGCTTGTTCGCAGTGCAATTTTATTTGCAAAAGTATGAGAGTGCAATTGCTTTAAGTGCATATTGTGATTTATTTTTGTTTCACTTTTGTCCTTCGTTTGTTTGCATTACAAACAATGAAAAATAAGAATCGAACAAATTAAGTAAGAACTGGTCAAATTCAAGTTATAATTTATGGTTCAACATGACCCCTACGTGAATTTGTCGAGACATTTTTTTAACCCTAACTGAGGAGGCAGCCACCTTAAAATTTTATTCATCAACCAATGCCAAACAGGAAAGTGAAAGGTAACCCAGTTTGTAGGACACATCTTCACTCATGGATTGCCCCCTTCCTCTCTCTCTTTACAGGCATGCATTTGTCTTTTTCTCTTTAGTTATGAAGATTGATTGAAGACCTTGAATGTGTCACTCTTCGTTGCAGCCAAAAGGCTTTTAATTCGATCAGTTAGGTCCTGTCGGGAGAGGGATGGCACATGGCAGGGGTTTGTTTTCATCCGCCGGGGAAGTGCAATAGTTTAATTGGATGATCTGAATACATGAACAATATTTCTCTCATGACAAAGGAAATAATGCAGGGTTATTACAGAAGAAAATATTAATTGACTAGCCAACGATGTTGATGTGAGGCTTCTTCCATTTGCGTTGCAAGTTGCACCAAACAGGCAAAGACAGCCTCATATTTGAGCTTCACAGCAAAAGTTCTGACCATCCAAATTCTAGGGCGGGCTAGTCAACCCAAATGGTGAGAAAACTGAGGATTCAATTAATGGTTGCCCAAGTAAAGAATTTTCACCCCTTAGCTCCCTTAGCTTTGAATGCTCTAATAATTGATCAGAAGATCTATATTAACTTATATGAGGACATGAGAAAAAAGAAGATTCATTTCATTTCATTTAAGTCCTTAAAATAAATTAAAAACTTAGGCCTTGTTTGGTTCGCGAGAATAGGGGTTTGGAATCGGAGTCGGAATGGATTATTCCGATTCCAACTGTTTGGTTGGGTGAAATCGGAATCCCATTCTCATTCCTGCTGGAATAGCATTCCCCCATTTGAGGGAATGGCATTCCCTGCCCCTCCCTTAGGAATGAAATCTCATTCTTGCTGATTTTAATTCTCATTCCCATTCTCATTCCTGTTTGAACCAAATAGATTATGGAAATGAATCATTCCGATTCCAATTCTGACTGCATACCAAACTTACCCTTTATGGGGCACTCTCTTTTCGGATTTTGAGAGGGGGGAAAGTTGGTCAATGGGATTTTGGTTCCCATTGACCAAGAATCCTACGTTCTTTTTCCAGATTTATGTGGAGAGCAGGGAAAGTTTATTTTCCTAGGTATCATTTACTCGGGTAAGTGATACCTATCTCCTAGGTGGATAAATAACTTTCCCACGTAGGGGAAAAATTGCCAACACTTGAATGAGACAAAAATGCCCTTTTAATAATGGATTTTTATGACTAAAATGGTCATTGCCTTATTTACAAGAGAAATAAAAGAACATGAATAAATGCACTTACTCGGATAAGTGTTTCCCAAAAAAAACTTACCCAAATAAGTAATTTATTGAAAAACAAACGAGGCCTTAGTGTTTATAGATGCATTTTAACAGTAAAAAAGGAGATAAATCATTAAAATAAGAAATGCCAAATGCACCAGTTGGTATGTATTCTTTGTATGTGATATATTTTTTATTTCAGTTATAAAAAAAAAGACTTTCCTCTATGCAAATTGTCCTTCCTCTTTTACTGTGTTCGAATTTCTTTTTATATTTCCCATAATTTTTAGTTGTTGGAGTTGGACCCATTTTACTCAGTTTTAGTCCTTTTATTGATCCAGTTGCAAACTGTGACACGGCTATATATGCCACAAAAGGAGAATTTTTAATTGCACCACTGACTTGTTGACCCAGAGGGCAGTTCAACCTCTGATTCGGGTTGTAAAACACTGATTCTAGTGTTAAATGTCGAAACTTCTGAACCTGCCCACTTTAATTGAAATGGGTATAATTAACCGATCCGAACTATTATTGAGTTAGCCGCTGTCCCTACGTATTGTTATCTATAAGAGGCCTCACAAGCTCCCCGGAATTCGCAGTCAAGGAGAGGAGCCACTTGAGCAACCAATCTGATCATCTGTCGACTCTTGTCTTCAAAAAAGAGAGAAGGATTTGAAATGGGTACTTCCATTCTTCCATCATCAATTCTTATGGGAGCTCTAATCATGGTGATGAGCACATTGTGGCCCCTGCCGGAGCTCATAGTTGCCGAGTATTCAGGAAAAACAAGATATTACAAATTCGATGTATGTATTACAGTACTGAATTAATGCCAATGAATAGCTAATGATAATTAATCAAATTTTTTTTTATCATTTAATTTGCACGTACATTAATGTTTAATTTGCTCAATTTGAGCTCTTTTACAGATCAAGTTGCAAACTGTGACACGGCTATGCCACACAAAGAGCATCGTGACTGTCAACGGCCTGTTTCCCGGGCCTCAGATCACGGCACAAGAGGGTGACCGGTTACTAATTGAGGTGGTTAACCATGTTCCGAACAATATCACCTTGCACTGGTAAGTCGTCTCTCTTCTGCACTACTTAGGTCGTCCAATCTCGATCATCAAATCTCTCTAGGCTCTAGCTAGTGCAAAATATGGACTTTGTTAAAAATTGTTGAATTTGTGTTTGATTTATGTTCTGATGGGTTGGTGAATGGTAAACAGGCATGGAATTCGACAGCTTGGGAGCGGATGGGCGGACGGGCCAGCATATGTGACTCAGTGTCCCATACAAACCGGCCAAACCTACGTATACAACTTCACCATTATCGGGCAAAGAGGGACTCTTCTCTGGCACGCTCATATTTCATGGCTGAGGTCGACCCTCTATGGACCCATTATCATTATTCCAAAGCCCGATGATTCCTACCCCTTCGCTAATCCCTACAAGGAGGTCCCCATCATCTTGGGTAACTAACTGTTAATTAACTCACTCATCACCGGCCGGCCAACGAGATGTGTCATGTGCACATGTGAAATTGAGCTATATTTATATTGATTATCCGGCCTTATCATTCTTCTGAACATCAGCTTTGATTTGATGATTTCAAGGGGAGTGGTGGAATGGAGACCCTGAGGCAATCATCAGCGAAGCTTTGCAGGCCGGACGTGGCCCCAATGTCTCCGACGCATACACCATTAATGGGTTACCAGGCCCATTATACAACTGCTCCGCCAAAGGTTATTAACCTATAGCTAGCTACCTCCCTACCATTATCAGTCCATTTCCACTACGTACGTACTTACCAGATTTAATTAGCTAGCTAGGTGTGAATGATAAAATTAATTAAGCAGAAGCTAGCTAGCCAACATCGATCAATAGTCAATACTCCTGATCAGCGAATCAGAATTTGTTGTTCGATCCATTAATCCCGGTTTGTTTGCCAGATACATTCAAGCTGACGGTGAAGACTGGGAAGACTTACCTCCTTCGAATGATCAACGCTGCGCTCGATGAGGAATTATTCTTCAGCATCGCCAACCACTCCCTCACCGTTGTCGAGGTTGATGCCGTCTACGTCAAGCCATTCCACACCGACACTCTCCTCATTGCACCAGGACAAACCACCAACGTCCTTCTTGAGACCAAGCCTGACTACCCCAAAGCCACATTCTTCATGGCTGCCCGGCCGTATTTCACCGGCTCGGGAACCTTCGATAACTCAACCGCTGCCGGAATCCTAGAGTACGAATACCAAGCTCCATCCATTAATTCTCCTTCACTGATCAGCATCTCACCCAAGGATATACCGCTCTTAAAACCATCCCTTCCTCCCTTGAACGATATCGCCTTGGTCACTAGCTTTCAAAAGAGTTTGCGCAGCTTGGCTACAACTCAATTTCCATGTAACGTCCCTCAGACTGTCGACAGGCGGTTCTTCTTCACGGTAGGCTTAGGGACGAGACCTTGCCCTAAGAACCGAACCTGCCAGGGGCCCAATGGCGCCCAGTTCTCGGCTTCAGTGAACAATGTCTCCTTTACACTCCCCACCACAGCTCTGCTGCAGGCTCATTTCTTTGGACAAGCGAATGGTATCTACACCACTGACTTCCCTACAAATCCGCCCTTTTCGTTCGACTATACGGGTACTCCTCCACACGACACAGTCGTGAACTGTGGCACCAAAGTAGTGGAGCTGGCTTTCAACACTAGCGTGGAGCTGGTGATGCAGGATACTAGCCTACTTGGTACTGATAGTCACCCTCTCCACCTCCATGGCTTCAACTTCTTCGTCGTGGGCCAAGGCTTTGGCAACTATGATCCCAACAAACACCCGCCCAACTTCAACCTTGTCGATCCTGTCGAGAGAAACACTGTGGGTGTACCGTCCGGCGGTTGGGTTGCAGTTCGGTTCTTGGCTGACAATCCAGGTGGGTAGTGTTATCACTCACACACAGTATAAATTATACGTAAATTGTTGAAACCGGACCATTGCTAAAACCTCTCCCCTACACCCTCTTTGTTCGAATCTTCTGAGAAAGTCCAAAATACGCATTCAGTTACTACCCAGGCTAGTAACTGAGAACAATTGATTCGAAGGGCAAATTTAGAAAATAAATCAATTTCAGAAAAAAAAAAAAAGAGATTGGAAGGATATTTTAGACATTTTCGTGCCTCTGTTTTAGAGGATCCTAACCGAAGGGGAGGTGATCACCAATCTTTAAGAAAGTTTCAACAACAACTAGAAAATTTAGGGGAGATTTCTGCAATTTATCTTAAATTGTAAATAAGATATATAATGTAAGGGTGACAATTTTTTTTATGGCTGAAGAAAAAAAATTAGGGTAAATTAGAGGAGCCCTACAAGCAAAAACTCTAGCTAAATAACATCCGGCCAATGTTTAGAGAACCGGGCTGGGTATAGAACCGGAGAAAGGAGAGGTTCACGGGTCAAGTTTGATTGGGTCAAACCGTGATAACATGGCATATACATGTATATACTTCGGGTCATAAATATCATGTATAACGTATTTTGCAACTTTTAATGTATTTAAATATGGTGGATGGATGGTAAGTTTATTAATTTTTTAAAAACAAATGACTAAGGTTCAAGTTTTTTGACTTACATTTTTTTAAAATATGTGCATAATAATGTAATATATATAATAAATAATCATTATTTAGCATAAGTAAAGAGGTTGATTAGTGGTAACTAAGTAATTTGTTAAAATAAGAGATCTCGAATTCAAATCTTGTTAACAAACATTTAAAATTTCACTTATATATAAGCCCGCTATTTTATGAAACTGGAACTGATTCACCAATTTTCCGGTTCAACCAGCCGATCAGTCAGTTTTAAGCGAGTTTTGAGCAAATCCGATTATTAGGGTATAATTGAACCGATGAGGATCCAGATCACGGTTTAACCAATTCAATCGATCGATCCAGTCCGATCCGATTTTCTAAACACTGCATCAAACCACATATTGGGAATTGAGAATATCTCCCATAAATATGCCTTGGGAGTGGATGTTCCCAATGTGCCCATGAATTCACGCACTTGCAGAGTGTGTGTAGAGTTTTTTCTGAACCTAACCCGAATTATTATTTTAATCAATGTTGAATTATTGGCTTGATCTCATTTAATTTTGATCTGTGACGACGTCTTAACAGGAGTTTGGTTCATGCACTGTCACCTTGAACTCCACACCAGTTGGGGATTGAGGATGGCATGGGTTGTGATGGACGGAGAGCTCCCACGTCAAAAGCTTCCACCTCCACCGTCAGATCTTCCCAAATGTTAATCTTGATCTTTTAAACTGATGGTTTCAATATTGCAGTGTGATGACCTTCGAACTTGTTCATTGTACTTTTGTTCTTCCTCTTTATAAAAATTAACTTCCTTCTTGCTTTACCTTTCTTTCCCTCGAAAAGAGTGAGAAAAGAGAAACTATAAGAGAGTGGGCAAGTGTTTGTAATCTTGAGAAGCATGGGCTTTGTGAAGATAAATTAAAATTGAATGAATTTTGTGATTTAGACTTTGTAATTAATTTTAAATATTTTATTCATTTATTTCAATGATTAATAAGGGCATTTAGGAAATTGAATTCTAAATATAGACAAGATTTTTGTGATGTCAAACTATAAGGGAGGTCTAAATAATTTGAAAGAACATATACTGATACAGTTTATACAGTGAAAATAAGTTATTTAAGTATGTTAGTTTTAGCCAAGGTATTTGCCATAGATCAAATAACTAAGGGGGGTGGGGGGAGGGGGTTGATGATTTGGTCAAGCTACAGTGTGGATGTTTAAGTGATTAACACATTAATTTCGAGTTAATTTGAATTTAATAGAAGTAATTAATTTGAAATAGCAGGTCGAGTTCGGGGTGGACATCATAATCCCCATACCCGGCCTCAATTACAATTAGGGTCAAGCTAGGGTGGAGATTCCAATCCCATCCTTGATGGGCTATGAATTAATTTCCAGTGTTTAGAAAACTGAACTGGACTGACCGGTTGAACCGTGACTAGGGCCTTGATTGGTTCGGTCATACCCCAATAACTAGACTTACTCAAAACTAGCTGACTGGCCGGTTGAACCAGAAAATTCGTGAACGAGTTCCGGTTTCATAAAACCGCCCAAGTCCATACACAAGTGAAATTTTAAAATGTTGTTAACAAGATTTGAACTCAAGACCTCTTATTTTCATTGATTAATTAGGTGGTGTTTGATAAATCTGAAATGTGAAATCTGAAGTTAAAAAGATATTATTTGTGTATGAAATCTGAAAAGAAGCATAGGTTATTTTCTACTTTTTAGAGGCTATGAATCGATAAGTTTGTTTATGTTGGATCAACCCTTTACCATTTGAAATTCATCGATTTTACTATTTTACCCCTAGAACATACTATTTGGAAATGTTGAATTCAATTCGCATTATCTCATAAACAATAATTTTCAACTTCAAAATAATATTGAAACAATACGAATAAAAAGTAATAAATTCATAATTAAAAATTATTAATTAATAAATGAAATGATTAAATTTAAAAAAATAATTAATGACTAAAAATATTAAAATAATTAATAATTTATAATTTATACAAATAAAAATTAAAATAATTTTTAAAAATTAATAAAATAATTAAAAATGACCAATTAATAATTAATAAATAACACAAGTAAGATTAATAAAAAATATTAAAACAATTAATACTTAAAAACTTAAAATAATTAATAATGAATAATTAGTAAAAATAATTTAATTAATAATTATTATTAATTATTAATCCCTCACTCTCTCGACTGCAAACGCTCCCTTGCTGCCCTTTCTTGATCCCCTGTCACCGACAAAGTACTACGCTGGCAAAATGCTTTGCTTTCATTCGCTAAAAAGCACTAGCAGGAGCAGAATAACCGCATTAATCAGCATCATTAGAAAGTTCAATCAGTTTCTCGTTCTCAACAACTAGGATAGACATTGCGGGATTTTAATGGCGGAATCCCTAAAATAACACGTTGAAATGAGTTTTTGCTTCTCCCTTTCTCTCCCTATTCCCCATGATTTGTTTCGACGAGCAGAAATCTCTAGCTGAACTTAAATCCCATAAAGAATAGAGAGAGAGAATTTCCGCTTCTGAGAGTTGTAGCGGCGGTGGTAGGAAGACAAAAGAGAGAGAAAAAGAGAATCACCGCTACTGAGAGTTGCATCGGTGGTGGCGGGAAGAAGAGAGAGAGAGAGAGAGAGAGAGAGAGATAACCGTCGCTGCTAAGGTTTGTAGCAGCGGTGGCAAAAAGATAGGGGAGAGAGAGATCGAATGGGGTAAGGATATTTTTGACGTTAGGCCACATTTGAAACGTGTCAAGTGACAGGCCTGGGTCTTACAATTTCAAATATGAAAAAACTTTTCAGATCATATTTCAGATGCAACACCAAACAAGCATTGCGTTTGAAAAGTAGATATTTCAAACTTTAGAGGTTTTAATTACCACTAATACATCTTTTTTCTTATACTAGTTAATGACTATTTATTATACATATACATTATTATGATCGTCGGAGTCAAGTGTTGGAGAGGGGTTGGACCAAGCTTGAGAAGAGAGCTCAGGCGAGGTCACTCAAGGGAAGGAAAGCTAGAGGGCAAGAATGGACTAGATCCTTTACCTTGAAGTTAGGCACCCCCTTTTATACTTGACTTACCATGGAGTGGTTGGAGGCTGTTAGAGATGGACGGCTAGGATCTCATTCGGCCAATGCTGTAGGCACCCACACTCTCGATGTTGCAGTGGTCGAGGTCAAGTGGCTTGTTGAACGGAAACCTCGACTTCGGCATTCTTCCTAGGGGCGTTAGATGGTGTACCGGGCGAAGGCCTTAGCTTGATTGAAGAGAGCATTACACAGTGGCATGGAGGCATTGGCCTTGACTGCCGAGAGCTCTACTTGGTCATCTGGTGGCAATTGCTTCCTTGTTGACTTCTCGCCTCTTTGGAGGATCGTAGTGGGCCAAGAGCACGGGGCCGTATCTGACATGGGTGTGAGGCATCCACATTCATCAGTTGTGCTCTATACAGGCGTCGTTGTGAATCCGTAGCGTGATGGGCATCGGATTGATTGGTCATGACCGTGCACGAAATAGCTGGTGGGTCGCCCAACTTGGGTTGCTTTGGACTCGGGTTCGTTGGTTGGACCAGCTAATTCCTTCGGCATCGGTCGATTTGGGCTGTCTGGTCGATGACTTTGCAACCGTTGGATTGAAGCAATTTGAGTTGTACGTTTTCCTTCAAACAGGGCCGCTGGTTGAAGCATCTCCCTATCATTTGCTCACTTCTGCTTGTGCTTCCACAAGCCTCGGACACCAACCAACCGATTCCTTAGTTTTCTCCCTCACCTTCACCTTGTTAGTTAAGGGACTTCTCTTGGAACCATGTCATACTTAAACTTTGGTCCCGAGTGCTATGACCTTCCTAACCTCTCTAACACCAGCACTCCAAGTTCCACCTCGTCTAGCAGCGAGGACACTGGCAATGAATCCGAGAGCTCCCCTCGGGCGCATAGAGTCCAAGTACCAAGGGAGAGGACCGCCCCTAGAGGTGCCAAGTGCAACCAGTGGGTAAGGAATCTCTCAATGAAAGTACTGGCTCTATGAGGTCAAGGAGGGACACGCCATAGGGAATGCCTTAGCATGTCCTTAAGTGGTGGATTCAGAGGAGGCCGATGTGAGCTTCGAAAAAAGCCGGCTCACTTTGCCGTTTGGGCTGGAAATGGAGTCGCCACCCATCAGTTATAGAAATGGAGGGACCTCCGGGAAGGGTATTAAAATTATTTATCGCTTTGTAGTGACTCCAAAGCTCTGGTATTAAAATTATTTATTTCGCCACCAGCTCTGGTAACCTCTTCAGATTCCGATTAAGCCATCACACCATACAAGAAAATGAAATGAGATAACAGAGAAAATAAAAGAAAATAAAAGAACAACGAAACACAGAAGAGACGCTAAGAGAGCTTAATTACCTGCTTGGGTTTCGCCATGAAGTGCGACTTAAACAGAGCACAATAATCCCAATGATGATAACTATGAATGATTGTAATAAGATCTTGATCTATGTTATATTTTGGCCTGAATCAACGGACGATGTAGGGGAAAAACTCTGTCCTGTTGTGGTCTGTGCATAGTAGCTCAAGTGATGGCTGCGACAAGGGGATGAAGAGATCCGTAAAAATGGTGAGAAGAATCACTGAAGAAACAATAAAGGATTGCTCTGAGTGTTGCCGCTGTGAAGAACTTTCCGCTATTCAAATATCGCTGAGTAGAGAGCTTGCTGATGACGGATAACGTTTTCTCCTAATCGGAAAAGAGAGGAAGAGAAGGGAGAAAATCAATAAGAAGAAGGAGGAAAAGAGGAAGGGGGAGTGTGGAGAGAAAGGTAGAGCGGAAGTGGGTTGGTTGGGCGCCGGTGCTCTGCCTCTGCCTTCGAACAAGGAGATGAATCCCGTTCAAAACAGGGGAGAAGGTGAATAGTGGATCCCACGAATAAGAAAGAAAGGCATGGTTAAATATTAGGGCATAAGGGCAGTTTCAAAAATTTTGGGAAACTAGGGGGTATTTTTGTAATTTGGGGCAAATCGGGTCAAACCGAGCATTCTGGTTCAATTCAATGATGGGGATTTTTTGGCCAAAAAATGGGGGGTCGAGATGGGTTTGACTGCGGAGTGGGGTCGTGCATGTGAGGGCCAGTGAGATTGACCGAAATGGAATCTTCTTAGATGAAGAGGCTAACGGGGGTATTTTTGAATGAAATTTCATGGGGTGGGGTTTTCGGATATTCTGGGTTGATTGGAAGGGTCAGATTGGCCTGAATGGGCCCAGATTGGGCAGATCTGGAAAGGGTTTGAATCGGTTACTCTAGGGCTTCAAAATGGAATCTATGTTCAATGAAGGGGTAAACGAAGGTAATTTCGGATGAAATTTCATAAGGCAGGATTTTTGGGCAGTCTGAGGTGATGGGCAAGGTCAGATTGAGTCAACTGGACCAGGATAGGGTGGATTTGGAATCTGGTCAACCTAGAGCCTTGAAATGGAATCTTTATGCAATCGGAGGGTAAACAGAGGTATTCTGGTTTGAGATTTCATAGGTGGACATTTGAGGGTGTCTAGGATTGATGATGTGGTTTGATCTATCTTTGGAGGGTCGAGGTCATAGGAATTGGGTCAATGGAATGTTTTAAAGTGGAATTTTGGTTTGATAGAGGAACAAATGAGGGAATCTAGGGTTGAAACTTCAAGGGAAGGTGTTTCAGGATGTTTCGGGTCTGATGGTTGTGTCTGATCTAATGGGTGAGGTGTAAATGGGGGTCAATCGAGGTCATCGGATAGGTATTAGGAAAGTTTGATTGTGGATCTGAGGTCTCTCGAGGCAAAATTTGGGTTTTCTAGGTTTTTGGTTGTTTCGGAGAGGTCGGAAGGTTCTGATCGAGTGTTTAGG